GTGGCTCAAGTGGCTAAGGCGCCAGCCACATACACCTAAGGTGGTGGGTTCGAATCCAGCCTGGGCCCGCCAAACAACCATGGCTGCAACCAAAACATAGCCAGGCATTGTGACAGGCACCTGTGGTCCCAGCTACTTGCGAGGTGGAGGCAGGAGACTTGCTTGAGCCAGGAGTTGGAGGTTGCTGTGAGCTGTGATGCCATAGCATTCTACCATGGGGGACAGCTTGAGGCTCTGTCTCAAAAAAAATAAAAAATAAATAAAGAAGCCTACCTCATGAATAAATTAGATTATGACCATTCTGCATCACCAATGAATTAATGAATTTAGGTCATATGGCTATAAATGGCAACTGATATCACAGAGAGGTACCTGGATATTACATGCACTACTAGTCTTTAGGTGGAGAAAAGGGGGCATCAAATCTGAATATGATTCAGCAGCCAGAATCTCAGGAAATACAGAGAATTTCCTGTTAAGTTAAGTGACTCCATAGGGATTCATTCAGAAAACTCCAGTAACCTCTATAAGACAAATGACCTGGTTTCTTCAACATATTGAAAGGGGAAAAATTTAAATGGAGGGGACATCACATATTTAACAAAATATATGACAACCTTATTTGGATCCTGATTCAAGTAAACAACAAATATTATGATTTACATAAGAAAGTCAGAAATTGGGTGGTGCCTGTAGCTCAAGGATAGGCTGGCCCCATATACTGGAGGTGGTGGGTTCAAACCCAGCCGTGGCCAAAAAAAAAGTCAGAAATTTAACTCAGCCTAAAAATTTTGAGATACATTACGCAATTACTATAAGTATATATGTATATGTATATATATATATATACTTTTTTTTTTTTTGAGGCAAAGTCTTACTTTGTCACCTTCAGTAGAGTGCTATAGCATCATAGCTCACAGCAACTTCCACTCTCGGGCTCAAGTGATTCTCTCACCTCAGGCTCCCAAGTACCTAGGACTACAGGTACCCACCACAACACCCAGCTATTTCTTTTTTCTTTTTTTTTTTTTTTGAGACATAGTCTCACTATGTTATCCCGGGTTGAGCTAGGTTTGAAACGCCAGCCTCAGTGTATGTGGCTGGTGGTGTTACCCACTGTGCTACAGGCACTGAGGCCTTTTTTTCTTTTTTTTGGAGACAGGATCTCAAGCTGTCACCCTGAGTAGGGTACTGTGGCATCACACCTCACAGCAACCTCAAACTCCTGGGCTTATGAGATTCTCCTGCCTCAGCCTCCCAAGCACCTGCCATAACGCCTGGCTATTTTTCTTTGTTGTAGTTGTCACTGTTGTTTTTTAGCTGGCCCAGGCCAGATTCAAACCCACCAGCCTTGGAGTATGTGGCCAGTGCCCTAGCCACTGAGCTATAGGCACCAAGCCAATACCTGGCTATTTTTTAGAGACAGGGGTCTTGCTCTTGTTCAGGCTGGTCTTCAGGCTGGTCTTGAACCTATGAGCTCAGGTAATCCACCTGCCTCGGCCTCCCAGAGTGCTAGGATTACATGTGTAAGCCAAGCCACCCAGCCTCCTACTATAAATATTTTATATATAAAAACAGTATGGGCTCGGTGCCTGTGGCTCAAGTGGCTAAGGCGCCA